TCATTTCCCGCCAGCTGCACTACTTTTGGACTTCTCTGTCATATCCTCAAGCAAGTTATCTTCTCCCTACTCCACTTTTTCAGTTTCCTTTTGTGTATTGTCTTCCCACATTAGATTGTAAGCTCCTTGAAGACAAGGACTGCCTTTTAAAATTTGTTTCCCTAGTGCTTAGCACAGTGCCTGGCACATAGTGGGAGCTTAATAAAAGTTTATTGACTGGTTGACTGACCACCAGTTTTGCTTCTGGCCCACTTCTCACAGCCATCATTCATCATTCATTCATCTGGACAGAAAGGACCAACTATCTCCATTAACTGCTAACCAACTGCCATATAAAGGGCAGGCAAGCCATACTAGCTGAAGCAGCAAGGTAACCTCCCTTTGAGAAAAACAGGAAGGCAAAATGAAATTACCATCACCATTGGTCACCATTTTCCTTCAGGCCCAGATGGGGATGGCCCAGGACCCCAAACTCAAGAATCTTGGGAATAGCAGGCCACTAGACCTAATTTCATTGTGGTCCCCACAGCCATTTTCATAAGGAAAGATTGTGTGTGTGTGTGTGGGAAGGTGTGTGTGTATGTGGGGGAGGGGGGCTCCTTCCTCATCACTAGCAACATCTGCTGACCAATTGCCGCCAATAGGGAGATAGGCACAGAAGTCCTTCTCTAGCCATCTCCCTCAGGTAGGGATATATAGCATGTGTGTATATGTATATGTATAGTACTATATGTATAGTACCAACTGCCAACCAACTACTACCTACAGGTATACAAACCTATCTAGTTGAAGCAGCAAGGCATCTTGAGGGAAAACTGTATGTGGCAGGCAAGTCAAACCATCACTACTGTCTTGACCATCATTTCATCACAGACCCTGGTAGGCACAACCCAGGACTCTGAATCGAAGAGCCCTGGGAATAATAACATTAAATAATGACTTTCAAGAAGAGGCATTCCCTAACTGATGGGCACCCCTACAATTACCAGTTCTTAGCCACCACAAAGAGAGCTGCCATAAACACTCTTATTTTTTTCCTTTTGCCCTAATCATCTTTGGAAACAGACCTAGCAGTGGTATTGCTGGGACAAAGGGTATAGGCAGCTTAATAACTCTTTCAGCATAATTCTAGACCACTCTCCAAAATGGCTGGATGAGTTCACAACTCCACCAACAATGAATTAGTGCCCTAATTTTTCCATATCCCCTCCAACAGTAGGGAAGGGGGGAAGAAAATAAGGGGGGAAAAAGAAAAAAAGAAATTTATGTGATAACTTTATTATTTATAATTTATGAAATATATTTGAGGGGAATATATATTAATTTATTATACATTTAAACTATTACATATTATATATTGAAAAGGAATAGCAAGTTGTACACAATAGGTTTACAGTTTCATGTGCAATCATCTTTTTTTATTATGTTATAGAAATGCTTGTTTTATTCCATAAATTAAAAATAAAATGAAATTTTAAAAAATAAGAAGAGGCATTAATATCTGCTTTGCTGCTGCAGCCCAGGGACCATTAAACTTTTCCATCTGACAGTCAAAATCTTCCATATGTGTTGTCTCCTTCCTTGGAATGTAAACTACTTGATAGCATTTTGTGTGTATTACCAAAGCAACATGTGCACATAGTAAGTACTTATTAAATGCTTCACTTATTCCATTCATTCATTGTGTACTGTGCCATCTAACTGCCTAAATAAATTGTTTCTGACAGACTTGAATCTAAAAATGCAAAGTAGAGTTTAATATTTTTTTTTCAATAGTCTGGACCTTTGATTTCTATTGTGGGGAACTCCAATTGCGGAAATCCCCCTAAAGCTTGAAGGCTGGCAACCTGTGGGCACAAAGAGGTTAAGTGACTTATCCATAGTCACAGGGCATCTAAGTGGTGCTGTGGATAGTGTGCTAGACCTGGGGTCGGGAAGACTCATCTTCACCAGTTCAAATCTGGGTTGACATTTACTAGCTTTGGGACCCTGGGTAAATCACTTAAACCTATCGGCCTCAGTTTGCCTCATCTATTAAATGAGCTAGAGAAAGAAATGGCAAACCACTCCAGTATCTTTGCCAAGAAAATCTCCAAAGGGGTCATGAAGAGTTAGACATGACTGAAACTAAACAACAATAAAAACCATAATCACACTGCCAGTATATTTCAGAGGTCCTTGAATCCAGGTCTTTTTTACTTCTAGTCCTTTATCCAATAACTACATCATACTGTTTCTCATAAATACATTGAGGTGTTATTTTGTTGGGTTAAGGCAAGGCTGCCAAAATGAAAAGGATGATGTTCCTACTATTACTAAGGCTATAGTTTAAAATCTTGCCTTGAGACCTGGGGTCCTTAACCCTTTTTGTGCCATTGACCCCTTTAGCAGTCTGGTGAAGCCTATGAATTTCTTCGAAAAATGTTCTTAAATGCATAACATAGAACATACAGGATCACAAAGGAAACCAATTATGTTGAAATATAATTATCAAAATATTTTTAAAAAGCAAGTTCATGAACCCCAGAATAAGAACTCTGTTTTCAGTAAGATATTAACTTTTTCTCCTCAGTGCAGAAAAGTCCTATCAATTTTGAAATTTTTTTACCATGTTGCAAAAGTTTGCATTTTTAATGAAAAAAGTGTTTTTTTCACTCATGTGATTTGAGCATTGTTATGCTGTTTACTATATTAAATTTAGTATTTGCTATATTTACTATATGTAAATATATTACATATAAAATGTACACAATATACAAATACACTATATGGAAATATGCTAAATATTGTACACTATATTTAATGATCAAAAGCATTTGTATTTGCTAATCTGTGTATACGCTGAATCCCCCTTTTTAAGTAAGCTGTTTGAGTGCAATGATTGTTTATATCCCAGGAATCTAACACAGTGCCTCATGGAGCATTTTGCTGTTGTTTTTCTTGGCAAAGATTCTGGAGTGGTTTGTCATTTCCTTCTCTAGTGGATTAGGCAAACAGAGATTAAGTGATTTGCCCAGGGTCATAAAGCTCGTGAGTGTCTGAGATTGGATTTGAACTCAGGTATTCCTGACTCCAAGCCCAGTGCTCCATCCACTGTACCATCTAGCTGCCTCATATAGGATATAGCATGTGCTTAATAGGTTCAAATCTCTGCCAGGAAAACCCCAAATAGGGGCACAAAGAGTCAGACATGATTGAAGAAAAACAAAAATGTGCTTAATAAATGCTTGTGGAATTGAAGTAGGAAAGAGGAATGGATAGAAGGCTGGTGCTAGAATTAGCAAGATCTGGGTTCAAGTTCCTCTTCTGACGCACACTGGCTGTGTGACCACAGGCAAGTCACTTTACTTCTCTGGTTCTGAGCTTCTATATTTGTAAAATGATGGGTTTGGACTAGATCCTAATGTGTGTGTGTGTGTGTGTGTGTGTGTGTGTGTAAGAATGCGTCTAAGGGTGTCAAGTAGGTGGTGCAGTGGATAGAGTACTGGCCCTGGATTCAGAAGAACCTGAGTTCAAATTCGGCCTCAGAAACGTAACACTTACTAGCTGTGTGACCCTGGGCAGTCACTTAACCCCATTGCCTAGCTTTAAAAAAAAAAAAAAAAAAAAAAAGAATGTGTCTAAGCCTAAGACACCTTTCACAAAATTAGAATAGCTGCTGATTTGCTTTATCATAAGGTGGTTTACATGCAGGAAATTCCCTAACACTAATTAAAAGTACAATTAGGAGAACCAAAATAAAGGAGATCTTAAATTGCCTTTAACAGTACATTTATATAATACAAATATTTACTACAATTTATATACTACAATTCCATAATAGTAAAGTACAGTAAAAACCTATTTTGAAAAAAAGAAAAACTCAATTCCCTAAGGAAACTGGACAGCAATGTGGCAATTAAACAGCAGATTTTTAAAAGGTAGAAATGGCAAGTGACATTATTCTTAAATATTTATCAGTAATACAGTATATTATATATACAGTATATGTATACGATATGCTGTATGCATGCATACAAACTGTATCATTAATCTATATTATAGCTTTATCAATAACAGTATATTATATACTGTATGCAGCATATATACTTTATCTTTATCAATAATACAGTATATCTTTATCAACAATACATTACATAATTTATATTTATATACTGTATCTTTATCAGTAATACATTATGTTTACCAATAATACAGTATAATATATACAGCATTATATATTAATATATACACAGCAAAATATATTACATATATTACCCAATGAAATATATTATATATGCACTATATAATATACTATATTATTGATAAACAATACAGAATGATACACAGAGAGAAATTTCAGGCTTTTAAAGTTACACACTTGGGGGCTGAGAAGCTCAAATTACACAGACGCTTGGTAAGTCTCAGAGTGGGGGAACTCGAACTCAGCTCCCTTGCTGGGCACCACCAGTGGCGTCAGCCTGCAGAACCAGCCATGATGTTTGGGGTGAATCACAAGCCTTTGTACGGAAGGGCACTGGGCAAAGATGTAGTTGAGGCTTTTCCCCACCCCCACCTTCCACTCCTGATTATTTTCCCTGTAGAGGTTCAAAGTATACTCTGAAAAATGTAAAAGTAAATGATCAACAAACTAAGCCACTTCAGCTGCTATGTGTGCTGAAGATCTCACGCTCAGCCTTCGACCTTAACTCCCCTTCCCTTCCTCTCTTTCTACTCGCAACCAGCACAAGGGCTAAGCATAAGCGCCTCAGCCGACAGCTCGAAGCACAAGTCAATTATATAGCCCAACGGGCGGCGGGGTTATTGACCAATAACCGTCCGACCTCAGCACAGGGTAGGAGGCGGGGCTAATTGCCTTCCTCATTCAAATAAAAAACCGGGAGATTTGCATGGCGAACCAACGGCCGATTTTCTCATTGGCTTGGAGCTCGAGGGGCGTGGCCAAAAGCTGGAGGAACGAGCCCCTCCTCCTTTCATTTGCATAACGGCCCCCGCGCGTGCAGGGGAGAAGCGGGTTTGTTTTTGAATCTGCGGAGGCGGTGGCAGCGGCGGCGGCGGCAGGCGGCGCAGACAGGGGAGTGTGCGCGACACTGAGGTGACGAGTTTGAGAGACGCCAGTGCGGGGCGGACTGCAGGAAGGAGCTTGGCCCTCCCTGCCGCATCTCCAGCCCCAAAAGGTATATATGGACCCTACGGGCTGTTATAACCATAGTTTTCTTAAATTACTATTGTAGTTCGCAGGGCTTCCCGCATTATGGCGGTCGCTGATGGAATGTTTGCGCTTGCGCGGTTGCGGAGCTGCGGGTGGCGCTGCATGGGAGCACGTGATCCTGCGGGGTCCGGTTGTAGCTGCAATTGTGCAGCTGCTAGGGCGGTGGCTGCGCAAGCGCAATGTTCATTTTCAAGAGCTAGTTTTTTTTGTTTTTTTTTGTTTTTTTTTTTTTGCTGGACGCCATTAGGTTCTAGATTTTTTTTTTTAACCTGCTTTTCGGAGGCATTGTCTTTCTGTGTCTTGATGACTTTGGAGAAATGAGGATTTTACTTTTTGTCTAAGGCTGTACTCCATATGATTTTCCTTTTCCCTCCCCAGTTCTTTAGAAACAATGAGGCTGACTTGTAAAATACAGCACACGTGGTTCTAGGTTATAGTTGAATTCTTGGATTATTACTGAATTTAAATTTCTTTTAAAAACATGTTCTTCAGTATTCATTATAGGAAGATTTAATGGGATGAATTCAGGAAAATAGTTATGTATGTTGCAAAAGTAGTTGGTTTTTGGGTTTTTTTTTTTTAATAAACTTGACCTGAGAATTTTGCAAGTGTTTGTTTAACCATGCCTGTAAGTGGCATTTTCTGTATATGAAGGCTTTCTTCTGGAAATATAAAAAAAGAAAATATAATTTTAAGAAAATATTGTTAAAAATAATGTTTTAAAGTTTTTTTTCCCTGAGTTTTCCAGATTTATGTAGTTTTAAATGACTTAAGTTTTCATTTTAATTTGGGTGCCTTTGAAATTACATTTGATCATTTCTGTCTTTTGGTTATCTTCTATTTTATGTAACATTTTTACCATTTACTCATAGTTAATGCCAAAGGTAATTTTTATTTTATCACCTTATATTTTTAAGTGTTAACAATTTTGTTTTGTTCTGATAAGTATCAGTGGGCCTATTTGTTTTGTAAACTTTATATACACACACAGACACACACACACAAGAACATTTGGTAGGGCCTCTAATAAGAAAGTACAGTGTGAATATCAATTAAATGCTATAGAAATCAGATTTAGAGCTGGAATGTACCTGAATAGTCATCTTGTCCTACCTCTTTTTATTGTTGAGGAAATTGTTGACCCAGAAAGGTTAAATGACTTACCCAAGGTCACACAGTAAAAGGCAGAATTTGAGCCTAAGTCACAGACTCCAGGGTTCTTTCCAGTGTAACTACTGGGCTACATCCCAATAGATTTTTTAATACTTTTACATATAAACAGCTTAAAGAAACAAGCATTGAGATTAATATTTGTAAATATAGTGCTGATTATTTTAGATTAGATAGTGTTATAATATGGCTTATAACAGCATTGTTATAGTGAATTGTCACTGGAGTGACATTAAACTATTCTCCCAGATTATGGAAACTAATTAATCTTAGATATTTTGAGTAATTCTAAATCTTGTAAACAAATTTAAAATAAAACTATTCAATTAATATGCAGAGACCTACGTTTGCATCAGGTTGGTGTTAAATAAGGAAGTAGTGTATCAAAACTGATGTAACTGTTGCCTAAAACAAATAGAAAAATACAGGGAAAGTAAACTGAAAACAACTGAAACTTTTTCTGATTGTATGTTTTAAATTGATGTCATCTGAAGTAAGTCAGAGGTGGCAGAATATGGGAATGGAACTTGTTTTGTTCTTTAGAACAATTCAACAAACATTTAAGCTTCTGTTAGGACTCAGTTACACTTACAGGACAATGCTGTAAAATTCCCTCCCCTCCTTTCTTCCACCATTAGAACTGCTATTGAATCTTATCTGTCAGAATTTTGGGAAATCTCTCTGTATGTGTTCTGGATTTATAAGTATTTGTGTTGTGTTACATTTCTTTTATTGGACTCAGGAGAGATCTGGGTTCAGATCTGGCCCCTGGACACGTAGTAGTTGAATCTTGCATAACAACCTCGCTAAGCCTGTTTCTTTATTTGTAATATGGAGATAACAATACTTGAATTTTTCTTAGTGTTGTGAGAACCAAATGAGGTAATACAAGTAAACCTATATATATAATGTGTCAATTATTAAATATGATGATTCTAGAAAAACAAGTGATTTTAAATGTAAATATTTTAGGAGAGTTAAATATATTTGAAACAATTGCATATTAGGTTAATGTTGAAATTAGTTGATTTTAAAGTGCACAAAAATTTAAATTTAAAACATATAAGGGGTATATGCTTAAAAGTATTTGATATGGAAAAGCCATACACATTTTTTCATTTCTGTTTGAATAAGAAAAATAATTTTATATAAATTTTAACAATTAGATTTTTCTTGCAGTAAATTTTGTTGTCTCACTATTTAGTCAGCCTTGGCTTTTAAAGCCCTTCACAACCTTGCACCTACTGATCTTTCCAACCTCATTATGCATTACAACCTTTCCCTCACTCTCTGCTCTAGCCAGACTGCTTTCTTGTTGTTCCTCACTCGCTGCACTCCATCTCTATTCTCTGTTCCTTTTTGTGCTGTGTCTCCCAGGCCTGGAATGATCTTCCTCCTCAGCTCTCCCCTTAGAATCTCTTTTATGTCTTTCAAGATTCAGCTCAAGCTTTACATGAAGCCTTTCCTGATGTCTTCTACTGTTAACTGCCTTCCTTCCCTAAAGTACTTTGCCTTTATTTGTGCATACTTAGATATGCCTCTCCTGTCAGTCTTTTCCCTCCCTTCCCCCTCCAGATCCTTGAGAGCAGGACTGTTTGATTTTTGTCTTTGTTTGTTTGCATAACACTATGTGAAAGGGAGTAGCAGTGAGGTAAGATAGAGTGAAACCAGATTATAGAGGGTCTTAAAAGACTGGGAATCTGGAATTTATAAATGTAAGTGGCACTTTATGTAGTTGGTGTGCTCAGTAAATACATGTGTATTGCTGTCCTTTCAGTAGGATGGGATGTTCTTTTCCTTAATGCTTAGCTTGCCTAAATGGAATTTCATTTTAATTACAGAGTTTATAAAGCAGCCCTTTGTAGTGCAAAGAACACAAGTCTATGAGTCAGGAGATTCAAAAAACCAACTCAGCTTTGAGTTGGTATGGCCTTAGACAAGTCACTTCACCTCTATGTATCTCATTTTCTCCATTTGTAAAATGAGAAGATTTAACTAGATAATCTCCAAAGCCTCTTCCTAGCTCTGAAATATATTCTCTCTTTATCTCTAAAATTTAATGTCTGTCATTCTTTGTATGATTTTATTCTTTTAATCATCCCTTCTCCTTCTAGATCTCTAGATTTTTATGACTCTGCTTTCCATTCTCCTCCTACCCCTCTGACTACTTTGCTGATTTGCCCTGACCCCAACTGTAGGTATACCCTAAGACTTTCCCAGGACTCCTTTATTTTTTTCCTCTATGATCTCTCATCATTTCTCATGTATGCAGTTATCTCTATGCAAAAGATTCCCCAGATCATATGCAGGACTACTCTCTCTAGTCCTGGACATTATCAGTTGTTTTTTGGATATTTCCCACTGGTTGTCCTTTAGGCATCTCATATGTCCAGTTTGTTTTTTCCTATCAAACTCATCCCACTTTCTGTGTTCGCTGTATTTCTCCAGTATACCACCATTCCTTTAGTTAACCAGTTTTGAAGCCTCTGAGTCATCCTCAACTCTTCACTCTCCCTAGCTCCCACATTCAGTCATTTGTCAAGTTTTGTAGATTCTTTTCCCCAACATCTCACATCCATCCCCTTCTCTTTGCTTCAGCAGTCACTCCCTGACACCCCCCCCCCACCCCAAGTCTTTTACTGGATTATTATAGGAGCCTTCTAGTTGACTTCTCCCTTCACTAGTCCATCTTCCACACAGTTGCCAAAATAATATTCCTAAAGCCCATATGAAAGCTCTTAAAAATACTTGTTGGTTGATTGATTGATGTTTATTAAATAAGGAATAGAGTTCATAGGAAACGAGAAATTAGTGGAGGCTAGTAGAATAGGAATGGAGGAGGTAGAACTTGATTTTCATTGATAGATGGAATTAGAATAGGTAAAAGGGAGTACAAGAACAATTTTCGTATCAGGGATAGCCACTACAAAGGCATAGAGATGAGAGATACAGCATTGTCTCATAGGAACAGCTATATGGCTGGACTGTATAGTGCAAGGAAGGAAGTACAGTGTAAGAAGACAGGAAAGATAGAAAGGGGCCAAATTGTTAAGAGTTTTAAATAGATGTTAAAACAGAGGAATTTATATTTGATCCTGGAGATAATAGGAAGCCATTGAAATTTGAATGGGGTGGGGGGAATAGCAGCAATTGAGGAAATCAACTTTTGTTGGCAGTAGAGAAAGACTTGAGGCAGGGAGACCCAAAAGGAGGTATTGCAGTAGTTCAGGATAGTGATGATGAAGACTGACTAGGGTAGCTGCTGTCTTAGTGGAGAGACTGGGGCATTTACAAGGGATATTGTGGAGATAGAAACAACAAAACTTGGCAACTATTGAGTATATATAGAGTTGAGACTGAGGAGTTGAGGATGGCATTGGGTTGGTGAATCTGTAGAAGAATGGTAATTTCTTCAACAGTAATAAGATTTTGAGGGAAAGATGCTGAATTTTATTTTGAACTTAGGGAGTTTGACATTTCCACAGGACTGGACATCTAGTCTGAAATGTTTAATAGGCAGTAAGGCTAGAAATAGACATCTGGGATTTATCGATATACATTTGATAGTTGCATTTTGGGAGCTGATGAAGTCATCAGTCAGTAAGCATTTAAGTGCCTACTATGTGTCTGGCACCAGCCTGGACAGAGCTTTGGAGTACAGCCACAGTTAATGGGTATGGATGATGATTCAGCAAGAACTCTGAGGAGAGATCAGACAGGTGAGAGGGAAAACCAAGAGTACTGTCATGAAAATCCGGAGAGAATAAAGTATTCAGGAAGCAAACAAGGAAGACC